CCGGTGAGTCTTTTTCTCACGTTCAAAGTGACGGAATTGGGGCAAATAAAATCTAGGACAAGAATAAAAAAAATATATATAATTCATAAATAATAATAATAATAAGAAATTTTTCTAATAAAATCAATATTCATTTATGAGTTCCACATAAAAAGGAAGATTTTTTTTGGCGTGCTGCAGCTCCATGTAAGTAAATCATTTCATACGTATTATCTCTTTATCATATAATCAAATTTATCATTGTATTTAGTATTTCTTTAGAGATTTATTTTTGAGTTCCGAAATAATTTAAATATAAAATTTCCTTGATTTACTTGCAAAGAACAGAAGGTCATTTTTTTTATATAGTTAAACTTAAATTCTGTTTTATTCCATGTCGTTACCATTAAGTTTTTTTTGGTTTTTTTTTTACCTAACTTTTTTGGTGGAATATAAAAGGTTCTACAAATGTGGACAGCCTTCTATATTCTGCGCATGTTCTTTTCATGGCGCAAGCTTGCCATGCCTACGAAAGTAACTTCATAAATTTGACATGATATGATGTTGACTTAACCTAATACCTAATGTTTTGATGTTTTGTTTTGGTGCAGTCAATCCATGCTGCTACACCTATTGAATTGTATTTATTAAATTAAATAAAAATTTTAGATTCCGTCACTTCACTTGAGGATATTCTCTTCAGAATATTCCCTCAAGGACTCAAGTAACTAAATTTCTTGAATAGTTAGCAAACCCGTGGATTTTGTTGTCACCCAGAGACCAGTGACTGGTTGTGGTTTTGTGCCCAGGATTCGTCTTTACAGCCATAAACTGATGTAACCGTGCCAAGAGGAATTTTCCTATGGACTTATGGGGCTGTAAAGATAAGTTGTTTAACTATTTGACTTTTTGTATTACGTATTACTTTCTATTTACTGTTAACTTTTCATATGCATATGATCAAGTAACTACATTTTGATAAAATATAATTTTGATATTATTGGGAGAGGGAAAATATATTACCTGTTTTTATTAGTTTTTTTAAATAGGATTTTAAGAGTACTGACCAAACTCACTTTTGCTATAATATATTTTTTTAATACAATATATTTGATAAAATAGGTACAATTTTGATATTGGGAAGGGAAATAAATTTCATGTGGTTTTTAAAACATTGTATAAGGAGTATTGAAGACTCACTTTTTGGATGTAATATATATTTAATATAATTGTAATAGAGATTTATCAAGTTTGATATCTTTACAATATTGTCATTAGTACCTCATTTTAGTAGAACTATTTAAATCTAAATTACTAACCTTAGTGTTAAGACTTAGGCTACCATACGGACTATTCTTGTTGTATACTAATATTTCATATTTTATTTGGCCAGTGGTAGTGACTATTCGTTTGTTGAGGGGCTATTAGGTCCCATTGTATCTGTACACCATCCACTACCACTGTTATTTGGCTTTGCATTATATGTAAATTGTTTATACACATATACCTATATACATTTTTTATAAATATATTTATTGTTGCTATTTTGAGTTTTATTTCAGTTCTACTAACCAGTATATAACATAGCAAAACAAGATTATTATTTAGTATTTTTGTATTTCAGAGTATTATCTCCAGATTCATTTGTTACTTCAAAATCTCAACTATCGTTGAGTTGGCGCCCTTCTTTTCTCTTCTTATTGTTCTCTTTCTATAAATTTATTCCCAGTGACTTTCTTCAGTTGTATCACGTTTGATATTACCAGGTCTCATTTCTTTCTTGTCTCATTAGCTCATTGTCTCTTGTTATTGTTGTTTATATCTTTAAAGCCACAATCCAGTGCATTGAAGCTAGCCCGAACACTCACTTGAGATTTAGTGTCTCTTTGGCCATTTAAATTTGTTCCTCTGAGCTTAGCCCTATTTTTAGTATTTTCATCACCTCTCTTCCAGTTCTTCTGGAATTTGGAAGTCTTACACTTCCCAAATCCAATACTCCCGGAGTATTGAGCGTTTCAAGTAATATACCCGACAAATGGCACAATGCAGAGGTAATTCTATTGTACAAAAAAGGAGATCCCCATGAATTAAAAAACTACAGACCTGTAAGTCTTCTTAGTCACCTATACAAACTCTTTACAAGAATAGTAACAAATCGTCTTGAGAAAAAACTTGATTTCTACCAGCCAATAGAGCAAGCGGGATTTCGTACCGGATTTGGAACAAATGATCACCTACAGAGCATTAAAACGGTAATACAAAACGGTAATCGACAACTCGTTCTGGCTTTTGTAGCTTTCCATAAAGCCATTGACACAGTATTATTTGACAAAATCCTGGAAGCACTACAAGCATGCCGCATTGACTACCGATATACAAGGTTAATTTACAAGGCAGAGGTATTAACCTAGGTTAATACCTCTGCCTTGTAAAGCAGAGGTTAATACCTCTGCCTTGTAATATAACCTACGACATGAAATTTCAATTTTAATTTGTGTCAACAAATATGAGGCATTTGAAATATGAATAAAAAACACAGAATTTAATGTTTTACAGTACAAACGATCGCACATCACGGGAAATGCCTACAAGAAGACGATTTTGGGTGTAGTTTATAGCAGAAGGTTGGTTCTTTTGAAAAGTACTAGTGTAATTGAAAGAAACAAAGTTTTAAACGTTTTAGATCGTTTGTTATGTGAAAGTTATATCCAGCGTTTTTTAAGCATATTTCAAGTGCCTCACATTTGTTACCAAAACTCAAAACTAAAATTTCATGCTATAGGTTTTGAAGGTTAGGCGCTAGTAATTGAAACTTCATAGAGGCCAGTCAATGAAACGGATAGATTATACTGATCTCGGGAGAATCATAAAAAATGAAAAAATCGCGCCACATTTATTTATTTAACACATTTATAAAATCTGAGTTTATTTGCAGCAAAATACAAAAATTGAATACATAAGCTGATTTTTTTAAAACGCATCTTGATTTTTGTCGATAGTACTTTTGAATCAAAAGATATCGAATTTTTACTGTTGAACTGATACAATTTTTTTGAACATTGATTTCTCGATTGTAACTAACATTCAAAATCGATTATCGCTATCTTTTTTACAGTAAAAATGTAATATCCTCATTATGAATCCATGTAACACAAATCAGTACCTGCAGCAGTGGCAAATGGAAGAACAACAGATTCTAAGATATGATCAATATATTGGTATTGATTCTAAGTGCTTCCACAAAAACGGGAACAGTGCCATGATGAAAAATTATTCTAGTCCACATCACAGCTTGATAGAATTTGATATAGTACCACATACACTACTATTTCAATGCTTGGAGTCAGTCTGGACACATATGACAATAGATTGCTCAAAAATCTTTACTACAATCAGACTGCATATATTGAGGTGGATCAAGAGATTTCAGCTGTTTCTATTAAGCACAGTGTAAGACAGGAATGTGTTATGTCACTGATGTTATTTAATGCTTACACTGAACCAGATTTTGAGATTGCGTTAAATAATTGTCGCGAAGGTATTAAAATCGGTGTTAAAATCATTAATAATATCAAATATGCAGATGACACCACCACAATGGCAGAGAGGCTAGACTAGAAGACCTTCTGCAAACAATGTAGTCACTGAAAAGGTCAATGATCAATTTAAAGAAAACAAAATGAATGGTGGTCAGAAAGATTAATATCTAAGACTAAATACTAAAATTAGATAACAAAATCCTGGAAAGGGTGGAACACTTTAGATATCTGGATAGTTGGATTGACTGGAGCGTTGCAAGTGACGAGCAAATTTTGACCAGAACTTACATGGACAAGCTTTATAAACTGACGTTCTGGGCTGTAGAAGTCTGTCATTGATCACATGTCTGAGAGTATTGAAGTGCTACATCTGGTCCGCTTTATTCTGGGATGATTTATGGATGTGAAACCTAGACAACAAAAATAAAAAAATCTTCATAAATTAGAAGCGTTCCAGTTGTGGTGTTAACACCGCATGCTCAGAATCCCATGTACAGCACATATCTAAGGAATGAGCTCTACATACAATGCACAAAGAGTGAGAATTGATCAATATCATTGAAATAAAAAAAGTGAATATTTCGGTTTTATAATGAGAGTACCTAATAATGCCTATTCCAGTTGATCAGGGCCACGACGAAAACAACTGTCCTGGTTACATAACATTGGACAATGGACACATCAAATGGTCCAGGAATTGTTTCATCTAGCTGACGATTGAGAAAAATTTTATGAGCGCTTTAATACGAGGATAGTCAATGCTTGAAAACAAGCACAGGAAGAAGATCATAACTTGAAGATCACTATATGGACGAACACCCTATACATGCCTGAGCCTTTTTTGTCCACCAAATCCTTTTAAAACTCTTACTCTTCTTGTATCAGGGCAGATAAAACCTTGCTTCATCTGTAAATAGTAGATAACTACATTCTTGTAAGTCCCAATGCACATGTAGGGCTTACTGTACCCATTTGAAATGAGTACTTATTGAATAGTGCACTGTTTTGCCAATAGCAATATATTTTCTTATCCTATTCATCTGTATAAACAAGTCTTTCACCAAAGAATATAGAGGCATACTTATGCGTCTATATTATTTGCTTTCACACTAAAGAATACACTACATTCTACAAAAGAGCAAAGAATAACTTTGATAGGTTAGGTTTTGAATTTTGACAATAATTTCAGTTGGACTACAGCATTTTTCAAACTGCAGGTGCTAGAGCATAAAAAGCTTTATGTCCATTACAGTACAAGAATGGATAGGTGTCTTAGATAAGTCCCTTTTACATAAATTGCAATATTTATGTACGCCTTTTTATTTTGCAAAAGTTAAAAGCCGTAAAGATTAAATCCTACATTTCATGTCCTTACTATAAGAACGATATTAACCTAAAATACGGAAAAATGGACATCCGCCTTTTATATTCCAAGCACCACAGATATATGTACCTATGAATAGCAAAAAAGTATGATTTTACCTGCTCTCATTTTTAGGAAAACGGTGATAACTTTTATCTGTATGTCTCGCCTTTGAGTTTTTGCATCCTCTGTAACTGCAGTAAGCTCGACATGTAGTCGGCATTTTGCCAACTGCTTTTGGTGGGTATTGTTTTCACTTGTATACACTTTAGAAAATATACTTTAAAATCTTTTGTTGAACAATGATTAGTTTATGACTTCAGCTTTAGGTTAGGCACCCAACATAAACATAACATCAAAGAACGCTTATAGAAGAACAGTTCAAATGGGCGATTTGGTTACGGTGTTTATACTTTAAAACACATCTGGCAGTCGGCTTAAAACTATCATAAAAGACGTAGGTAGTAGGGGAAAGTGGGAAAGGAGTACGAACGGAGCTATTTATTTAACTTTGCATCTACGATTAAAAAAATTCCCATGCTTTTTTTGTTTTTTTCACAATAAAATCTTTATTTTTAATATATTAAATTGTTAAATTTTTAATTTTGAAATTTAAAAAGGTATGATTTAAAATAGGTTTGTTCCAACACAACAAAAAACCGTCACATAAATTTTTATTATACTGTTTTTCTGCCCAAAAATTAACGAAATCTTTTTTAAAAATTTCAAAATTTGTCAACCAAAAATTTAATTTTCTCAGGACTTTTCATTAAACTTTTTAGACAATTTTCCATTATTCTGCAGAAAAACAGTGTTGTGTTGTACATTTTATGTTATTTTATATTAAAAACAAAGAAGAAATTATTAAATTTAGAAAATTTGGAAATATTTATTTCCGGTGATTAATGACTTTATTGATTGAATTAATTTTATTTATAGTTAATAAGAAAAGAGTTTTAAGTATAGTATTTGTAGATTTGTATTTGCATATTTAAATTAAAAATTTGAATCCTAATATTTTTTCTAATGGGATTCATTTATTAAAAGTTAAAATATTATTTTCTTTAAAAAATGTTATAAAACGCAAAAATCTAATCCTATTCTACGGCCACGCGGCATCTACATAAAAATATCTGTTACATTTGTTGCCCCACTCTTTCATATTTTAAAAGCAATAATAGCGCCGACATGACCGCTTCCTACTGGTACTAAAATCTCGATCCACCCTCTCATTCTTTTTCATAAAGTGCGATCATCTTTTGCCAACTTTCAAAAATAACAGTGAAAGATTCTTCTATAGGCGTTCTATAAGGCAGTGAAAGATTCTTTGATAATATAACCACATAAATAAAACCAACTACAAATTCAAATCACCAAATGGAAACGGGCCATTTGGTTACGGTTTATACGTCAAAACACTCCTTAAGAGGGTGGCTGCATAAACCAAAAGCGTGGTGCCGTGGCTGTCGGCTTAATGAAATATGTAGTTAGGGGGAAGTGGGAAAGGAGTACGAACGGAGCGATTTATGTAACTTTGCATCTACGCCTAAACAAATTTCGATGCCATTGATTTGCAAACTGTCTTTTTTTTGTTTTTTCACAATAAAATCTTTAATTTTAATATATCAAATTGTTAAATTTTTAATTTTAAAACTTAAAAATGTATGATATTTACAATATTCAAAGTATTTATTTTTTTAATTTCATAACTTTGAATTAAAAATATGTTTGTTCCAACGCTACGAAAAACCGTCACATAACTTTTTATTATACTGTTTTTCTGCCCAAAAATTTCAAAATTTTTCAACCAAAAATTTAATTTTTTCAGGACTTTTCATCAAACTTTTTAGATAATTTTTTAAATTATTTCATTGAACAATTGCCCTGTTCAAAAAAGTATTCAATGAAACTTTTTACTAAATTATGAAATTCCATTTCGCCGAAACTTCCATTTCATCCATAATTTTTTAATAACAACAAAAAGCATTCCTGATTTATTTTTGAAATATTTTACAGTAACTTTTAATGAATAGTCTATGTGAAAGTTTTTACGCTGTATGGGTACTATTTAATCTTGTTTTAAAATAACAACTAGTACTAAACATAATTTTCACAATGAATGAATATTGGTGAAATTACAATGACGTATAATATATAGACTCGGTGAACGCTTTAAAAAGTGTCCAAAACATAAATACCTTTGTTATTGTTTATTGTTTTGATACGAAGGTGCACGAAGTTCATGATTTCTTACGAAGCATCACGAAGTTGATCTAGTGTTTGAAAACATCATGGACGTATGAAAACATTTTCTCCATTTTGTGTGACAAGCAAATTTTATTTTAAATTGTTGAGAGTTATTTACTTACTATTTTAGTAAAATACCATACTATTTTATCAAAATAATTAGTTCTCTTATCGACGGGAACAAAAAGAAATCATAAATATTTAATTTTAATTAAAAAATAATTATTGTCATTAACATATAAATGAGCACGCCGCTGTTGTGATAAACATACCTTCAACCTTGAGCCGAGATCTTTCGGACACTCGATTCTATAGCGAGAATAGGGGACTGCGTAGTCTATATATTATACGTCATTGTGAAATTATTACAATATAGTCTTAAACTGATTTATACTTAATTGAAAATAAACTGTTGACATTAATTACAATTAAAATAAATTTTATTTAGAAATTTATGACATTTACTAAAAAAATATAATCTTCATAACTGATTTTTTTATTCATATATGAATGAATAAATTATCGGTTTCAAAAATGAAGTCAATAAAAGGGACTAGTATGTATTTTTTTTTATTTCGAGCTTTCAATTGTGTTTACAATAATTTACAAGAGCTGCTAAAAAATACAAACTATCTTACAAAGTTGAACTAGAAAAAAATATTAACTCAAAGAAAGTAAAATAAAAATATATGAGAAATTATAAACGTTTTAAAGGTAAGAATAGTAGATAATTTAAAAACCTTTTATGTGTAAATATTGCTACTCTTAGCTAATATTAATTTGCTTATAACAATGTTAATAATGTTTAATTAATTTGTAATAATAGGTAAGTTAATATTACTCAGCGGAAAGCAAGCGAGAAGTATAGCAGTTATCTCCCACCAGGATGGTAAGGAATAGAGTCCAAAAGTTAGGCATTCTATGTATATAAAAATTTACCTACTATTTGATTAATTAATATTTTTTCGAAATACGTCAAATGAATTAAAAAAGTATAAAACGATGGATTCACACTTTTTCAATATTTTAAAGGTCCCAAAAAGATTATTTTTCAAAATACTTTTGAACTCTGAGTGTAAGGATAATAAAGGAGAGAAGGGCCTTCTATGTTAAGTATTATTGTTCAATATGATCATCAATTAAACTGATTAAATATGTGCAGAAATATCATTAAAAGAAGAAACTTATTAGCGATTAAATATATACAGTATACATTCAAGAGAAATATCGCTTTCAAAATGGATTGTTTGCCATAAAAATAAATTATCGGGAAAAACCGAAGGGGAGAATTTACAAAACAGTCATCAGACCAATAATGACATACGCGTCAGAAACAAGACCTGGCGCAGATAAGACAAAAAGGATGTTAGAAACAGCAGAGATGAAAACAGAAAAATTGGTGACATTATGGGACATTATGGGACAGGGCTAGAAGTACAGATACACGATGTAGATGTAAGGTGGAGAAAATCAAGAACCGGGTAAGAAATAGAAAAGTAGAACGGAACGATATATATATATATATATATATAATATATATATATATATATAATATATATATATATATATATATATATATGGCAACAAATAGAGTAGTAAAGACGGCAAGAGACAGTTCCCCAATAGGAAGACGATCAGTAGGAAAACCACGATGGAACGACAACTTACTGGAGGCACATTGAAAACCAGACAGTCATGTCGATATAAAAAGAAAAGGAAGAAGAAAAATAAATTCTTAGACTATAATTTTTGTTTTTCTTTGTTTTGTTAGTTTTTTATGTTTTTTTTTTAATAATATTGTCAAATATTTCTGAAAAAAAAGGTATTAGTAATATTATTAAAAGGAAAAATAATAATATTTATAATATTAATGACAAAAAAGCAATTCTGTGTATAACTTAAAATATAAAGCAGTGAAATAAAAGCATTAAAAAATTTGAAAAAATAGATAAGGTATTGAAGAAAATAATCTAAAAATTGTTATAGCTGAATGTATTCGCTCTGTGCGTGACCATGGTAGGGGTACCTTGAAACGATGCCAGCGTGCTTAGCGGCGAAATATGACCTAATTGGACCTATCTTTTTACGCATAAATTTTATCAAAAATGTGTGCAAATACATGTTGCGTATTTAATTGTGCTAATAATAGCAAAAATAGTGAGTGTAGTTTTTATAGGTTCCCAAAGATTACATATAAATTAGAGAAAAGAAAAAGATGGATTTGTGCTATTAGCATGAAAAAGTAAATATCACATAATTTCATTTTTATGCTATTGAAATAGGAAAAATTTAAATAATTTACCTTAAATAATATTTCATAAGGCTTCAAGCTAACTGCCTGATGACTTTAGCTTTTATATCATAACTTTTATTATTATTGTTTTTAATTATATGGTCTTTCACGTGAAAAACTTAATTTTCCAGTACTAGATTTTTCCATTTCTTTTCCGTTTGGGTTGAAAAGATATATTATGATGAATTGTGAGAAACCCAGTTTTAATACTACATTTATTTTGTACATAAACTGAAAAAATATAATTAAAAAACTAATTATTAATAATTGTCAATTTCGCATGTATTTAACAATGTCAAACATATGTCATATGTTTAACCTGAAAATTGGGAGGTCCAAAACTGTCAGATGAAGGCGGTAGGTGTCGCGTGAGTTACGCACGGAGCAAATATTTAAGAAATTTTTATTCTAAAATTGAAATTGCTTTTTTACATTACCTATTGATGGCTCATTTTTTGAAGTTTTAGATTTGGCTTATCACTACTAGCAATTTTAGATTTTCTAGCTCTTCTAATATCTCGATTATCTTTATTAATCCATTTTAAATTATTGAATATCATAACTCCAACTAAAAATTCTAATAACCGTTGTCGATGTGATTTACAAGAGTCGTCAATGTTTAAAAATGATGGATTGATTTCATTTAATTTTTTTTATACCATTTAAAATCAACTTACTGACAATTTCCAAATAACAAACATTTTTAAACTTAACATCAAAAATATCAAGTGAAATATGTATTACTTCTGTAGGTACGCAAAGATTACCAAGTTTGTTAGTATTTTGAGAAACTTTATAAGCTTTAAAAAATAA